GTCTGCAAATAAAGAAATCACGGCACGAAATATGACGCAATAAATGTCAAACATCGATTAAAATTATTACGATTGATTACGATATTGTAAGAAATAAATTGCAGAAATAAATTGCAGGGAAGGAATTTAATTAAATAATCGCAACCTCGCCAACAGGCCTGCACGGGTCTGAATCCGCCTGTACTGGCTGTACTGTGCTGTAATACTACGGCGTACTTGATGTTAAATCAAGGAAATTGTAGGATCCAAGAGACCCGACAGATCGATTGAGAAAAAAAAAATGAAATCTCACCACCCACCTCGTTATATCCCTCGCAAAACATCACATCGATTACACTTTTTGCGCATCACGCCTCTCGCGCAGTTTGCGCGATTCGCAACTCGCAAGACGACAACGTCTACTATTATGTTACAGACGACTGTATGATATGACCACTATACCCACGACCCACGACCCAACACGACACGACACGATACGACACGACGACCAATGACGACGTCGACCGACGACGCGTCACCTGCTATCCGGGCTGTTCCTGCTGACCTGCACCGACGAGATAATATCAATGTACATCCACATAAACTTGCGGCTATATGCATAGTCGCATAAAGAAAATTAACCAACCGCATTTCTCTTATAGAGACGTACGTAAAATGTGATTGGATAATTTTTGTCATTGCAAGTTTGTTGTGTGGTTATACCCTTGAAGATGATCGCTTCTATAGGCAAAGTTTCGTGATTATAAATTCGTAATTTTTTTATTATGTAAATGCTATTATGTAAATAAATATAGGCACGCATACTTTTAATGCTATATCTTATTATACATGTATATTGCCGAAAAATTACAATTTTGGACTAGTGTTGAGCCTATGAGAAAATTATCGACTGTCTTGCTTTTATCTGAATTGTCTACAATTACATGCAGGAATAAAGAGAAGGTCGCTCGACAGTTATGTTTTTCATCACTGCACGTCGCCAAACGTCTCGCAGGCTTCTTGTCGAAAGCCAATATCTATAGACTCTCCGAATCGAATTATTGTTCGTAGCGGTGAACATCTGGGCAAGGGCTTGCTGACGCGGCTTGGCGTTGCGTGGCGCGGCATGGAGCGGCGCGGGGGGAGAGCTGAGAAATGTGATTTATGTGATGTGGATTGTTTGTTGACGTTCGTCAATTCATGTCAATGTGATGTATGAGCTCTGCGAGGGACGCTGCAGCGTGAGCGAGTGTCAACTCACGTTGCAACATGCACTTTGCACTTGATCCCGAGTCCCGAGTCCCGAGCAAAGAGATTGGGGAGAAAATAGACAGATTGGAAATTAAGGACGCTATGGAGGAGAGGAATTGCGAACGTCGTCCTTTCCATCTCGCCAGCGTGTTTCCAGGTATCCATTTCGACGTTGACATCACTGACTTGCCGACAGATACCCCTCATATCTCCAGACTAGATGTCTTCTTGCTAGCTTGCTCCATAATAATGCATGTCGTCGATATGGGTTTCGATTATAACATCGCTGTCCAATATTATCTGGGTGGCAAAGTAACGTATTTTACTTGGACAATGTGTCTCATACTTATTCCCTCTTTGATCAATGTTGTTATCAGCAGAAGGATGCAGCTTCAAGATAAACAAGTAAAGTACTACATATAGCTATACTAAGTTTTACTCGGTTAACTTATTTCCGTCAGATTTCGAATGTATATATTAGGTGTGGGAAAAAGTTCGTAGTGTTTTTCTCGTTAGATGTAACGAGAAAAACGCCACGAACTTTTTCTTACACCTAATATATATATATATATATATATGTGTGTGTGTGTGTGTGTGTGTGTGTGTGTGTGTATATAAAACATAAGTATATTCCTTGATATAGACAAGTTCCAGTATGCCAAACGATTATAAAATGACGCATTTGTTGATTAAAAATGGATTGTGTTGTACGATCGCTGTTTTCTTGCAATTGGCACCAGTTATACATTACTGGGAAACTCTGAAGTGTGCATTAAAAGCACGTAAATGCAAGAAATCCGAAGATCGTGTCAATGAAAAGAGATATTATCTAAGGATGCTCAAAGAAGATCAAGATGTTGCTTTGTTAAGAGTATTTGAATGTTTCTTGGAAGCTGCACCACAACAAATCCTACAGCTAACTCTGATGCTAAAGCATTATCACAATGAAATTAATTTTGAATGTATATCTATACTTTGTGGAATATATTTATGCCCGATCTCACATACATTTATAAAGTTACTAAAGATTTAGTGTCAATTGACAATGAAGAAAAAAATTGCTTCAAAGACTTAGTTCCAATTTGTTGTCATACAATTTTAGCTTTTTCAACTATCTTGGCATAGATCAAAAAGTTTCTATTTATACATTGTAACATATTATAATAGATCGATACTATCAAATGACTCTTTTAATGTGTTTTTCATATTATTTTTCAGTTGTACATCAAGTAGCTAGTATTGTCAGCTCGCTTGCAAGCATGGGTTGGGCAATGGCCAGTTACCATCGTAGCATTCGATTAGCTCAACAAAATAAATTGAATATTGGTGTTGTAGGAACTGTGCTACAATTTCTGTGGCACTTTAGCATCACAGGTACATATCCAACAATCAACAGATGAAATGATATTCCAATTGAGACATTTTTTATTTTGGAAAAAAAATCACTGATTATAACTGATTATCATGATTACAGTGGCAAGAATCTTATCTCTCAGTGTTATTGCAAGCGTCTGGCCTCTATATACCATAATCGGTTGCTTAATACATTGGGTAATCATGACAATATGGATTTTGATCAATTCCCATGGGATATTAGAGTTCTGCCGGGCTTACGGTCGCCCACCACATATGCTGCCAACATTTAAAGAACGCATTTATTCTAGCTTTTTTGCCATAGTTATTGGCATAGTTTACATTTTCATATATTTAAATACTATAGATTGCAATACATTTTGGAAACATCTATGTTTCTATGTGCTCTGTTTTGCAGAAAACATTACTTCAAGTCTATTGTGGAGATATACCTGTCCTCCTGAAGTTAGAGAAGCTTGGTATTTTAACGTATTCTTTATTATTTGCATCGTTTCCTTTTTGCTAGGAATTATAGCAATGATAGTGTATTATACTAGATTTCATCCTTCGAAAAAGCAACGTGCTTCAAATTCATTTCAAGCCATGTAATCGTAAATATCTATTTTTTACTTCAAGGAGATTAAACTAATTTTGCATTATAGTTTACAAAGTATCTTTCGAGATACACATTATGTATCTCGAAAGAAAAAGAATCTCAATATTAAAACTCATATATATATATATA